GTCCGGATGTCGGAGTGGATGATGGCCTCGGGGCTTTGGATTGGCGGCTCGTGGGTTGCATTGCGTTTGCATGGGCTGTTATTTTTCTGACACTTGCCAGAGGGTTGAAAAGTTCCGGGAAAGTCGCATATTTCACAGCCATGTTCCCTTATGTCGTGCTGATCACGTTTTTGATCAAAGGAGCGACGCTGAAAGGAGCTGGAGAAGGAATAAAATACTTCATCACACCTCAGTGGGAAAAACTGGCCGAACCGGAGGTTCGAAAATAAGCTATTTTCAGCGCATGATCCGCAGTCATCAGACAAGATGATTGAATTACACAGCTAAATCCCCAAGAAAATTAGACAGAAATAGTCAAATTTGAAGAATCTATAAATTGAAATTTACTCCCCGATTTTGGCGGGAAATAAGACCGGGTTTGCGGAGTAAAGTCATACTGCAGTGTATTGACTACCGTATTTGCCCTCTTTCTTGATTCCGAACAAGAAATGTTGCAAATATCGAATATTCTGGAGTTCTCTTCGAAGATGAAGCTCCGACTAATCATTGAGTCAACATATGCACTTTTTATGCGAGTTTTTTGGTAAATAAATTTTAAAGAATCATACTCGAACCCCGTAAAATTCAGCAGCCGTAATAATGTGAGAAAATTTGGAAATATTTATTGTCAATTCGTCTCACTCTCAAAAGTATTATGGTTCAATAAATCCTAATTCCAGAATTGGAAGGGAAATTGCCATTAAAAATATCACAGCAGCAGAGATTTCATGAACATTTTCAGAGGTGATGAACGAAATAAAATGACAATGCGGCTTTCTAGGGTTTCAACTGGAAACTTCTGTATGCGTTGAAAACATGATTTTTTCCACCAAACCTATGAGTGAAAATATTTCGCAATGAGGTGGTCATTTGAAATATCTCTGGCATTGATGTCCCATATAATCAGAAAATCTTGACACAAACATTGTGGTACATAAAGAAATAATGTTTAAAAATGCTAGGATCATCATTTTATTTTTACTTCCCTATAGACGAATTTCTCAAAGGCAAACAGAATTTTTAAAATATCTCCTAAAAATGTTTAAATGTATTCCGTTTGGAAAAAATATTTGTCTCACTCCACCATGACCTTTTTTGAAGATCGAAACCGTCGCGGATTTTTAACAACCCTCGTATCATTTAATGATGTATAGTACAGTATTTGTTCACTTGCAAAATGTTTTTAAATCTTGAAATTTTTCGTAAAATTCTTTATTCTTCAGGTTTGGTATCAGGCGATTACTCAGTGCTTCTTCTCTCTCGCTGTTGGATTTGGAAGCACCACAATGTACGCCAGTTTCAACCGATTTGATCATCCAATTTACAGGTAATGTTCGACACCATCTTTTGTCAACATGTGAAAATCAATGCCTTCAACAAAGAATTTTTTTCTAA